ATACCGAAGATATCCCGGACGTTGATCTATATGAGATTAGTGTGGCTCTCAAACAACTTAAGAACAACAAGGCGGCGGGCGATGATGGAATTTTAAACACAAAATATATCAATTTTAAAACAACAAAAATCGTGACAGAAATCTGCCATTTACAGACCAGAGTTCATAAGTTATTTTCGAGAGTTATTACGAATTGTCTCGCTCACAGGTTAATCGATTTCAAATATCCGGAATAAGTTCGTTTCAGTACCGTAGACCACATTCATACGCTGCGTCAGATTATACGGAAGACCTAGGAGTATGACCTGCCACTTTGCTTAGTGTTTGTGGCCCACGAGAAAGCTTTCGATACGATTTAGACTTGGGCGGTGCTGCAGTCTCTCCAAATATGCCAAGTATGTCGAGGTATAAAGGTACTTATACTAAAATGCCAGGAGCTCGATGGCGCAAGTGGTTAGCGCATTCGGCTGCGATCGTTGAAGTTAAGCAACTTTCGCAGTGGTCGGTTATTGGATGGGTGACCAAAAATTTACCATCTCGAGTTCCTCCGTGCTTCGGAAGGCACGTTAAGCCGTTGGTCCCAGCTGCATCTGCAGTCGTTAGCACCCACCAATCCGCACTGGGCCCGCGTGGTGGGTCATGGCCCAATCTCCCTATTCCATCCATAGGGAAGGCCTGTGCCCCAGCAGTAGGGACATCAATAGGCTGATGATGACTAAAATGCCACTATGTCATTCCGCTCCAGAATCAGAGATTCAACTGCAGCAAGGCGTGAAAAGGAAGATGTATAACATCTGTGAAACTGATTTTCGCTGCATCTCAGAATATTTTTCAAGGTTCTGGATTGGAAAAGACGTGGCATCTACATCAATAGCAAGTACCTAATATACTCCCGCTTTGCAGATGATGTAGTACTTGTGGCTGAGAGCTTGGTCGCACAACGGGCAATGAAGAAAGTGATGCTTGGTATTTTCTTGCGTGATAGAATCAGAAATGAATAAAACCGCAGGAGAACTAAAGTAACCGACATCGCTCCAAGGCTTGCTCAGCTGAAATAATAGTAGGCACACATTGCGAGGAGGTTGTCAAATGGCGACCACGCACCGCACCTAGCTCAGTAGGCAGGCCCCCCCACCAGGTGGACCGACTATCTGGTGAAGGTCTCGGGTTCCCCTCCAGCGTGGACATTAGTAGGCTGATGATAAAAGATGATAAAACGAAATCCTTCGTTCATGGAAATTAACCCAGTGATTAAGAAAATGTCAGATTGTGTAACTGTTTGTATTTAATTATATCATGGAGTCTACAACTTTTTAACCACCAAATAGTTTTTACCTTATATGATATTCTCTTCTCGTAGATACTGAATATAACAAAACTTCTCAAGCTCGAAAGTAATATAACTTTGATATTCTCTGCACGCGCGGATTTTACTGGCCCGAAGCTTAATACAATGAACGTTCGGATAAAACATTGCTATTTTAGGTTTGCCGTTTACCATATTAACCAATTAGAAACGACTTGAGACAGGCAAATATCTGTCTAACTTCAGCAGCTAAAACAGGTCTCAGTTTACAGGCCTATTTAAATTACATTCGGATGAAGTTACGCAGGGAATTTAAGTTCACTAACTCAAACATCTCGGTACAACTTCGCAGCCTTTGGCAACATGTTTCGACTTCTCATTCGTGTAAATTAACAACACACATCAAAGTGTTTTCGTGTAAATTGGGTAGGCATAAACTTTTCTTTACATATTATTCATGTGTTTGTGCTACAGAGGACCTCAATGGCACAGTGGTTAACATGATGGCCTACTATTGTGGAAAGTTAAGGCTTTCGCAGTAATCAATCGTAGGATAGGCAACCGATGATTTCTTATCCCACGCAAGGCAAAAAATTTCATGAAGGCACTTATGACGGTGCTGGCGGTAATATCTTTACAAGGAAACGCAAAAGGAAATCTGCTGTATTCATCGACGACAGTTAATATATACTTATTTGGTGTTTTTGAAGGTAACGGTCCCTTGAAATCTATATAGACTCGTTCGAAAGGTGCTGTAGCCTGGATTAAATTTCCTCTACAGCGTGCATAGCTGGGCTTAATTTCAGCGCATATGTGACAGTTCTCAGTTATTTGTCTAACATCGTTAATCGAATAAGAAAGATTTTTCGAGCGCACCCAGTGTACCATTCTTGTTATTCCAGAATGGTAGAGCCTTACATGTAAGGCTTTCAAAGAATCAGTATTGTTACTTATTAGCGTACAGACTCTAGACAGTCCATCTGCTGCTTTATTTTCTTTTTCTGCTCTATAAATTATATCGTATTTAAAACAGGATAGTTCCAAGCGCCAACGTTCTATTTTCTCATTCTTGATTTTACTAGAGTGTCGTTGATCGAACATAAATTAAACGGACGGTTGATCTGTGATTAAATTAAAGTAGCGTCCAATAAGGTAGTGGCGCCATTTACGTAATGATTCTACAATTGCAGCAGCTTCTTTTTCTATAGATGGGTGTCGTTTCTTAAAATGTTTTAAAGAGCAAGAAAAGAACGCTATGGGTTAACCATTTTGAGACAGTGTTGCAGCAATAGCATATTCTGAGGCATCAGTCTCGACAGTGAAGGTTGCATTTTCATCTATTGCCACTAGACACGCTTTGAGAATATCCTTCTTCAGACCTTCGAAAGAAGTAATAGACACACCAGTAAGAGGGAATGTACAAATTTCTAATAATGGTTTGATTTTGTCAGAAAATTTCGGTACACCTTGAGTAAGGAGCAAAGAGACCTAGTGCCCTTTTTAATTCCGAGGCATTTTCTGGAAGGGGAAGATCCATCAATGGTTTCAGGCGGTCGGGATCAGGTTTGAAGTCATTATTTTGCACATTGTATCCAAGGAGATTAATAAAATGAGTATTAAATCACCAAATGCTCGTCATGATCCTTCTTTGTTTTGCCACAAAATGTGACGTCATCTAAATACGCAAATGTTCCTTTCAATTTTTTCAGTTTCGATCACGCAGCTAAGAGCTCGTTGAAAGGCAGCTACCCCATTTGTTACACCAAATGGGATACGGGTAAATTGGTAAAGTTTACCGTTCGCTTCAGAAGCTGTATATGATTTTTCTCTCGAAAGAATGCTTATTTGGTGATATGCACTTTTTGAGTCAATTTGACTAAAGTGATTATATTTCGCTACTTTAGCTTCTATGGACTCGATATTAGGCAATAGGAAGCCATTTAGTTCCGTAAATCTATTTATGGTCTGCGCATAATTCTTTTTCTATGGTGACCTCCTCCTGCAACAAGGGCTTGGGCTCGCCACGGTAAAGTACTTGGTTCAATAACACCATCTTCAAGTAATTTATTAACCTCTAATTTTATAAATTCTTCATCATCTTTAGCTATATCGGCGCGAGCGTATTGCTATCGGTCTGATATCATACGATAAATTACTAAAAAGAGTAGCAGGAGGTAGAGAGGCTCCCATCACATTGCAAATTCGTAAGAGTTGCCAGCTTCCTCCGAATTTCAATTCTAACTTGGAATGGGTTTTGAGTATATCGTGACCCACAATAACACCCGCTCAGAGATTGGTGACAATTAGAAGAGGTTCTTGTTGATATTGATTTTCGTCTATTTTGAGTGTGGCATGACAGAGTCCTTCAACAAAAGATACATGACTTAGTGATGCTAACGAATTTGTTTGTTGACACGGCTTTACTTTCAGTTTAAGCGATTGAGCTAGGTTTCTATCTTTGAAACTCACCGAGCTCCTTACCTAGCCCTATATTCATTTATAGTGATAGGGATAGTGGCCTTCTTCAAACTACTCGGGGAAGCGGCTAATCTTGCAGATGAATTTTCCGAATTAGTAGATAACATCCTATCAGCGTTGATAGTATTGACCTTCAGTGGTTCCTTGCTTCTGCATACACTTGCAAAATATCCCTTCCTCTAACACAATTGACAATTAACTTTGAATGCTGGACATTTAATCATCTGATGTAGAACATTACTGCCGCTAAAGAAACAACGCCGCTTCGGAACTATTGAACTTGTGTTTGTATTAAGGTGGAGTTGATTCCCAGTTGAAGCATTTAGAGATAAAGCTTTATTAGTTATTATGTGAGTATTTTTCTCAGCACTCTCTAAAGTAATCGCCAAATTGACAACTTCATCTAAATTTAAAGTCAACTTTTCTAAAAGTCTTTCTTTGATATTTTGTGAGATGATACCTGCGATAAATGCGCCACATATGGATTGAATTCGATGTTCTTCCGCCGACACTGCTGTATAGTTACATTCATGTGACAAAAGATTTAGTGCAGTAAGATTTAGTAGAAGTACTCTCTCATAGTTTCTTCAGCTTTTTGTGTGCGGGTTGCTAGTAAATGTCTTGAGAGAATTTCATTCTTAGGTTTGACATAGATCTCTTCTAAAGTTTTCATAGCGATGTCATACGATTTGACACCTCAAACGTACGAGAACAGTGTCGGGGATAAATGATTTACCAGGACGTTTAGCTTCATGGCATTTTTGGTTTCGCTAGTGCATTCTTCAGTAAGAAAATTTTCGAAAGTAAAACGCCAGTGCGACCATTTCAAATCGGCCTCTGTCGAATTAGGTTCCACGTCGAAACGATTTCGCCGAAGATAGCAGGACATTTTATTTTCTTGCGTAGATATTTTTATTTATTTATCTTTCATATTTTATGCTGAATAAGTTGTTATAAATAAAGACAAAGCCTTGAGAAAACTAGGCTTTATTCAGCATAAAAGACTGCAATAGGCATAGGGTCTACCGGATGCGCCTTGGCCTATTCTCCCTGTTACTTCTTTAGGATAAGCCTATCCCCAAAATGGGGACTTTAATAGGCTGCTGATGTTAAGAATTAAGAAAGTAAGAAAAACAAAGATGTTAAGTTAATCTTCTTTAAATTGAGAACGCATGAAAAGCAAAGATGTTAAAGTCAATATTCCTCATGTCACCAGGTATCTGTAGAAGAATGGATTTCGATGTGGAACGACTACGCGCTCAACCCTTCGGCAGCACTGAAGTGGCAGCAGCTATACTGCCACTTCATGTTCCAGCTGGAGGACGCCAGCGCCGACGGCTCTATCGACTGCGACGAATTCACGACCGTCTGCTCCTCTTACGGCATCGACACTCAAGAGTGCAAAGTTGCCTTCAGTAAGATGGCTAGGGTGAGAACTTTGTTAAATTATAAAATAAAATCTATTTTTCCATCGGCTAAGCTTTGTGGAGGTCTTTGATGTTTTTTTTTTACTTTCTAACGACGTACAAGCCCTCATCTGTGAAACCAAATATGTATTGGAGAAATACTTAAGTTTTAAATAAGTGAATTCCATTATGCACTAAGTACAAAAGTATTTGGAATTATTATTTTGATCATATATCTTTTTTGATTTGGAACAACAGCAGCATTCAAAAGCTCTTTTGAATCGTCCATATTTTTGCCTACTACCCATTCAGAACATGTTTTTGCTAATAAAAAGAAGGGGCGCAAGAAACTCATCAGCATTTAACAGAAGTAGCAACATTTACATAAAATCATATCGCTACCAATACAACCTCCACTCACATTTTGACTGCTGTGTGCAGTATAAATACAAATACTATATACTAAATACAATCCGTATAGACCTTTATAGTTTATCAAATTGTTATAAGATAAGAGAATATAAAATTGTTTTTCTTTGTCTATCAGGGAAAGAGCAGTGTATCCTGGGAGGAATTCCAGGAACTTTGGAAAGAGTATTTCTCTACGGAGGACCCCAACGCTGCTGGCAACTTCATTTTTGGCCGAACTGGCTTTTAAATCAAATAACCAAGAAGTTGAAATAAAAACCCTTCAACCGCCATGAAGGCATCGAGGATCTAAGACGGCCAATATTCCTAAATGTACCACCATATTTGATTCAGACACGTCAAGAGGAGTTTGAAAACTGACAATTCCTACATTACAATCGCTTAGGTGATAAACGCGCGACATCCGGTGTCCAATATCCTGAAATTAAATGATTTTAAGTGTGTCTGTGTTCAGAATTAATAATGTAATTCCTAATACTATTTTTCTTGATAGCGGATCAATTTGTGAATTTGAAGGTAATTTTAATCAACTTTTACTATAAAGCTCAAGCGTTTATGTACTTAAAAATGTGGCTAAACTTATAGTTGGCTATTAAGTTGGTTAATGCATCGTCAGTAGTGTAAGTTTTTCCAACGTATAAGCTGTCAGCTTCAAAATTTGAAACAATTTGGTACTGACCTCTCTCTCGGTTTTAGCATTTGAGGTACAGAGAATAAGGCGATTAAACAATATATGAAACAACGGTTTTCAAATTGTACATGAGTACAATAAAGCTTACGAACCAACTCTAAGTTAACTACAAGTTTGACACTTGATCTACTTAGTATTTCTTGAATCTTAGAGTCTAATGCAACAAATGGATTTATCACTATTACATTGGATAGCATATCTGTAGTCATATCTTATGATAATTCTACTCATGTTCTAGAATGTTCCGTCACAATGTAACCCGAATTATAATGAACTTTTATTATATTTTTGATTTATTAATTATTGTGTAATTGTAAAAGTATATTTGAAAAATCAAGCTTGGAAATGTGTGAGTATATTTTTAATGTTGGTGTTTTTATTAATAATCTCTTAACTGAATGTTACAGTGATTGCTCCTTAAGAGTAATTTTTAAGCTAGTTCATTTGTTAATGAAAATTATAGTTAAAATATTTGTTAAAATTGATGATATTTTAGATTATATTATTTGTTAAATTATGATAAGTTAATATTAAAAACAAAACTCAATTCTAATGCCTAAAGTTTGTATCTTTGGGTTGCTCTATTGATATTTATACAAAATATGTATTTAGGCATAATAGATTAATAAATGTATGTACATAATATATGTGAGTTTGATTTAATGTTTCATTTACCCGTATCTAATCTTGGTACAATTAGTTTAACAATTCATGAGGCGCGTCCACACAGAGCGAGCAGCCTCGCGAGGCTATTGCCACGCGACGCGGCTCGGTTAGTATGGACGGGCCTCGGCCGAGGCAAGGACGCGCGCTGTCGCGGGCGAACAACCGAACGCCAGAGCCATCGAGTGTCGGCTTCAAGTTTTGCTCAAAGGTGCCTCAGTCGTTCGCCGTGCGTGTTAGCATTGACATTAATTATTAATTTTATAAACGCTTTGAAACATATATAAAGCAATAAAAGCAAATGGAATGGAAATAAAACTGTTCAATAGATTCAGATTTATTTATTTTATAAGGGAATTAATTACTTTCATTTTTTTTTAATTTTTAAAGTAAACTATTTATTGATTATTAAAATTAAAATACCAAAACAAAGTATAAAATCTTTACTCGCAAATAACTAACCTCTTATTTTATTTTTTAAGATTACAGAAGTAATTTCTATTGTAAAAAGCAAAAGTATATTATTATATTATGACACAATATTAAACAAATATAATTCCGATAAAAGTTATAAACAACAATATGAAAATGATTACTTAATTATAATTTTTATTATTTTTAAAGCATGTAACTGCTTGATGTTTAAATCTAAAGAAAATATAACTAGAAAAAATTCCACGCGGACCAGGCAGCAGACGGGACTCGAACCCGCACCCTTCGCAATCCGGGCGAATGCACTGACCAATTATGCTACCGCGGCCCTCACGGACCGCGTCGAAATTCCTTCTAGCTATTCTTAAGCTGCAGGGCAGCGCCATCTCTTCGCATTATAGGTAAACCCACAATGTCAAATGAATACTTTTACAAGTATTAAACATTTGAAAGAAGAAATAGCAATTTTAGTTATAATTTTTATTATTTTTAAAGCATGTAACTGCTTGATGTTTAAATCTAAAGAAAATATGATTACTTAACTCAGAGCTCCTCTCGGTCCGATGGATGGCTCGATACAGAATCGTCCCGCAAAGGCTGAAACTCGGCCTTTTAAAGGCGGCGACAAACAACTAACGTCATCGGGCCGTTCAGAACACGTCGACAAATATTTCGCTGACTACCCGCAATTTATGAAATATTCTATTAAATTATGTAATTTAGTGCGAGCAATAGATAATTATACAGCCGTCTCGATGTTTATTATCTAACACGCGCAGTCTGGGTGTTCGCGTATTTTATTTCATGCCTCGTTCGAGCATAGTAATTATAAATAATGATCAGTGTTTGAAATTAATATCTCTCTACGGTGCAATTACCTGGCTAGGCGAGTTATCTAATAAAACAAATAGAGGATTAAGGGAAGATGCCTGGTTAAGTATTGGCCGCGAGGTGAATTAACCAGTTCCTGCTTTAAAAAAGAAAATGGAATGGATAATGATGAAATCCTTCAGACGGGAAAAATATCTTTTTAAAATCCTATTTATAGCCACCGCAACATGTACGTGTGGTGCCATGCTATCTTAATTCTCAATTGAACGAAGAAATAAAATGGGTCGGCCTGACGCGCCTACTAGCTAATGGTTGTTACTTAAAATTGATTTCTATATCTCACTTTCATCTCCTTTTTTAAATCCGAATTCTTTAATTGCAAAAACACGTTGATGCTTCTCCCACACCTAAGTACAAGAATTTAGTACCTAATCTTAGGTACTAAAATTAGCGATCGACATTTATATTACTTTACACATTTATCGTCTCTCTCAACATCTTTTATGCGTGTCAAAAATCGTCAGTTAAGCTATTGTCTAGCGTCTATAGATACGCAGCACTATTATTCATTACGATAGAACTAAATTCTTTTAATACTAACGAACAGAAATTTTAGCGTATTTAGTACCAAGCTTCTTCGCGCAGGTGTGGGAGAAGCATGAGACGATACTTTAAATGAACACGCAAAAAAAAACGGCCAAGTGCGTGTCTTACTACGCACAGTATAGGCCCTACACTGTGCGTAGTAAGACGCACGCACACAGGGTAATCTACACTGTAGATTACCCTATACTGTAGGGTAATCTAAGTCACTTTTAATGTATTCTTCTAGAGTCTGTGCGGAAAGAGAATGGGCGTGGCGAAAAACGGAATTAACATTAAGATTTTTATTTGGCAATCAAACCCAGCAATCTGTAAAATGTCAAAGTTTTGTACTGATACGGATTTGTTTGTTGTTGTGATTTCTTGAGGTTTTTTTGTATTTAATCATGTCTAATAGGGGTAAAACCTTAGAAATACGGTAGAAAAGCACTACAGCGCCCTCCAATCTAAATCCCATTCACTTTCTGCACAGACTCTAAGGAATTTTTATTAGGAAAATTTCTAATATATAAATTGAACGACTGTTACTCCTAAACTAACTAATCTATCTGAAATGTTAAAGTTTTCCTTAAAATTTCATGAAAATCACTATTACCATGATTTTTTACACATTTTCTAGCTAACAGTTTAGCATTCAGTGGGGGGAGGTGTCCCACTGGCACAAAGGGATTGATGTACATACTTCCACAAAATTACAGTCCTCTAGTGCAAACAGTCTCCAAGCAACACCTCCGACGGACAGACAGACATACGGACATGACGAAACTATAAGGATCACCTTGTCAGGACTACGGAACCCTAAAAACAAAAAAGCATATTAGACAAATTATATAAAAACCTGTGATCACCTTTGACGACCTCCATGGCCGAGTGGTTTATTAGCCGGGTTTCATGGTGTCACCGACTCGAGAGGTCGCGGGTTCGAATCCCGGTGGGGGCAGATGTTTGTGTGATGAACACGAACATTTGTACTCCAGTCATGGATGTTTAATATGTATTTCTATATAAATATGCTTATATATGTACAGTATATGTATTCTATCCGTTACCCTAGTGTCCCATTACACAAGCCTTACAGTGCTCACTTTGGGGCTAGGCGAATCGGTGTGAGTGTTGGAAATATTTATTATTATTATCACCCTGCAATTGTGCAGAATGGTACCTACATCAGTATTAAGTCAGTAAGAACTGATGCAGACGCTTTTAAACTAGATCTCCTGGAATTTTTCGTCCTGATACGTAAGTGCCAGAGCTTTATTTCATTTCTTTTTCCGCTAGCAAGTAACTCATGTTTTCAAATTTCTACCTTTGTGTTAATATTCCAAAGTTCACCAAATTCAGGGTCTTAGGCGGAAAAAATAACATTCATACAGTTATGATTTTATTTATTTTTAAGCATTTAACTGCTAGATGTTTAAATCTAAAGAAAAGTTTACTAGAACCTACAATGCGAAGAGATGGCGCTGCCTTGCAGCTTAACGCTAGGAAAATTTCGACGCGGCTAATAGGGCCGTGGTAGCATAATGGTCAGTGCATTCGCCCGGATTGCGAAGGATGCGGGTTCGAGTCACGTCCGCTGCCTGGTCCGCGTGGATTTTTTTCTAGTAAACTTTTCTTTAGATTTATTCATACAGTTATTATTGAATATAATACCTTTGAGAGAAGAAGAAAGTCGAATTTTGGTCAATAAGTCTAGTCGGTCAAAAAGTTTTACGCCAACTTATCTCTACGCAATAGTCATAATCGGACATTTCAATCCAATGTTAATTTTAACGATACCCCACAAACACAAATGTTTGTTCAGCATCCCGCCAAAAATCGGCAATTTTCGATTTGGCTTCATTAAAACCGGATGAGTTTATCCGGCTGTAATCCGGTTACGTGCTTAACGTTACCGATATCCGGACCGGCACAATAAATCAAACATTATTGCATCGTAAAAGGCTAATATGTATGTTTGTACAATCTGATTACCAGCCTCATTATTACTATAGAATATACAACATAATTATTTCCACACATTATAATTTTATGAGCTATGATTTTTTTCTATATTTTTTTCTATATGAGGAGGAGCTCGGTGGCGCAAGTGGTTCGTGCGTTCGAGTGCGATCGTTGAAGTTAAGCACCTTTCGCAGTGGTCGGTCATTGGATGGGTGACCAAAAATTTACTATCTCGAGCTCCTCAGTGCTTCGGAATGCACGTTAAGCCGTTGGTCCCGGCTGCATCTGCAGTCATTAGCACCCACCAATCCGCCCTAGGCCCGCGTGGTGGGTCATGGCCCAATCTCCCTATTCCATTCATAGGGAAGGCCTGTGCCCCAGCAGTGGGGACATTAATATACTGATGATGATGATGATTTTTTTTTACAATTTTCCTCTAATAAATTAAAGTAGGTAAACTTTTCGCCCTGAACTTAAATATGAAACATATAAACACGGGTATAAGTGAATTTAAATAAACACTATAAAACCATCCAAACTTTGTGTACCTACTTAACGATAGTAGAATTAGCAGAAACTTGTTTTGTGTACCTTGATTGACTTCGGAATAGGTAATTTAAATCGACTAACAACTTTTCCTGGGAAAACGCCGCAAGGGAACACGAGTTCGCACGAAATTATGTTCTTTGGACCAATAAGCCAAAATCTTCCACCCGGTACAGGCTACTGGCAGAAAGACTCATTCAAACTTTTAATTAAAGCCTTATCGTCGAATTTAGGACTACGGCATT